CGTCCTGTACGTGTTATCCAACATCTATTAAAAATAATAACGAGTAAAAACGCTTACGTATTTCATGTTATGGCAATTGCTACGAGAAATTACAATATGACTGTGTAGAACGCCTTCTGGTTAATAAGTTAAGCCCTTATTAACGCCCTTCCCAGAGTAGCTGTCACAGAAAAATTAACTATAGATTTTCTATGGCTTTTAACAAACATAAAGTTTAATACCGCGTAGGACAAATGTAGCTGACATATGAAGGGGCAAAACATTATTTATTATTTCGCGAATAAATCAAATTTAAGGCAAACGGTCAGCATTATTTGCATTTATTGGTTTGCCCTAGCCGAGAACGGACGTAAATATCTATAATCATCTTTGAATATTTACAATTGAGTCAACTACGTTTGAAAGTTCCTTGTAGTTTTTTGGAAGGTACACATTATTGATGCCGATTACTGTACTGAACCGGCGGCCATTGTGATTGCCTAATAGCGCGTCATTCATGTGCAGAGACCATACATTCGTTCATATATGAACACATATTCCATTTAGAAAAACCGGACAGTGATCTGTTTTTGCAAACACATTATGGCTTGATTTTGCAAAAATAAACGAAAAAGATATTTGCATATCTCAGACTGCGGAACCGGTGAAAGATAGTAGAAGATATTATTAAAGGCCAGCGTGAATATTGCGTGATCTTAGAAATCTATTATTTGGGCCAATGCACTGGCCAGAGACTTTTTTGCAACATGAAAGCTTGAATGGGATTTTATTAAGCCAAAATGGAACTAGACTTTGGGTGATTTATAGATATTTATCTACGTTTTTATCTCTTGTAGACATCCTATGCCCACCTGCGATGTTGTCTAACAAAGGGTACCTTATTGTCAGGGAACGAAATGTATTGAACAAAATTTTCAGGTAAAAAGTTGACTCTTTCGCTTGAAAATGCATCATACATGTCTGCAGAATGTGTGCATTTCTTTAACCATTTAAAAAATTAATAGAGCCGTTTGTCTCACAAATGGGCTTTTTTAATAAACGATTATGCCCTTCTCTTCTCTTTTGATTTTATGCTAATTTAAATAACTCTTTACTGCGAGAAACCCTTCGTTGATGAATTGGATCCACTCCCTTATTAGCCAAGTTTTATTAAATTCTCCCAGTTAATTTTGAGATTTTATTAGTTGATTCCTTTATTTAAACTTCTGCCTATTGATAACTTGTCTACTCCTCTGAGCAGCCTGGTACGCTTATTTTAGCCTTGGCATATCCAATTTTTTTTCCTTTTTATTGTTATACCTAAGGACGGCGAATTTTCGTTTGAATGTTTCCAAAATGCATATGATCAGTGGATATGAGCATGTTGCACGGCTCATTTGATTGCATAAGATGTATTTTGCCTTTGTCATCATTGCAGCACACAATGCTCAAAGAACTAGCTAAGAGGTTTGCTGTCTGTCATGAAGCAATCGAAGAGAATTTCGCCGCAAGCCGACGCTCAGCAGGCGAACCAATACTGAGTTGCCTGGAAACAGCACTGTGAAGGCCGTTGCCTTGGAAAAGCAATATAAGGAGGTGTTATCAGATTATCACAGGCTGACGCCAGCAACTCAGTCAGAAGATAAGAAATTTAGTCAAACGAAAGAGAGAACGGGAGACATTGACAAACAATGATCTCGCGTCTTTTCTGTTGTCTTCTAATTTCTTCGATGGTTCGACCATCAGTGTCGATAAGCGATGAGGTCCTGCCTATCCCAGCTGAGGAGATACCAGCGGCTTACTGGGAAGCAGATGCTCGCATGAACTTTGAAGAATCTGAAAAAATTATGTCGGACAAGGCAAAGGACGCAAGGAAAGCTAAGAACGTGATATTGTTTCTTGGCGACGGAATGGGCTTGCCCTCCATTGCTGCTGGTCGTTTCTACGCTAACAAGAAACTTGACGGAAAACCGAGTAAATTCTCGTTTGAGAACTGGGACTATAACACTGTCGCCCGAACCTATGACCTGGAGACTATGGTGACTGACTCCGCTAGTTCGGCTACGGCTTATCTGACGGGCAAGTGCTAAAATCTGTTTTTTTTTCTTATTCCTGCATTGGTAATATTAGGGCAGTGACTTAATCAAGACATACGTGCATAATAATTTATCAAAGCATCCCAAAGTATTTTCGCGTTAACCTATGAACAATGAAACACAATTAACTTTCATTCCTTGAAATACTTTAATCGATGAAGTCCTATTAATTGTCTAAGCGTTATATTTGACAAAGTTAGTTGAAACAGTGCATAGCATATACCCCTCGTCTCATCATGTTTTCCTATGCAAACGGGGATTGTAGGGATTGTGGGATGGTGAAAAAGGATAGGCAGTGAATGTTATTTGTAAAAGTCAGTGTGAAGTGGAATATGTGATTTAATTTGTTTCCCGCAGCCGCTAAGAGTAATTTGTTCCACCTATGAATTGAAGATGTGCGCGGGGCTTAGCGCTGTCGACTATACTAATCTAACTCAGGAACTTTAAGTGCGACCTCAGGTAAATTGAAGTAGACGACCCTCTAACAACCACTTCTATTTTTTCAGGAATTTAAGAAAAACCTGCATTTTGATAATTGGGTTTTTCGGCAATATGTTAACCAATAATACATATTAGAAAAATCTACGGATATAGATCAAGAAAATTTCTGTATACAATAAAATAAAAATGCATATAGCAGTTACTTAAGTATATTCCTCTGCCTATCCTTATCACCCAACCAAGAAATCCTATAATTAACGTTTCTGTAGGACAACACTCTGGGACCACAGGAATACGAGAGGCACTACTTAAACCACTGATGCTGAATATGTGTGGCGTGGTCTACGAAAATCAGCTGCGTTCGATGAACATAGCGCTAGCATCAACACTTGAATTCGAGCATAATAGTTTGTTGGTATCCGATGCATCTTCGATATTTTAATTGCATGGATAAACATTATAAGCCATATTGAGCACTGAGTACTAATCTTAGGAAGACCTTTACCCCTTTTGCCTCTCGGAGATATTCGAACCTAGCAAAAATGGGCGTTACAATAAATAATATATCCAATATGGTATATAAAAACGGTCTCACTTGCTCGAGTAGAAATATTCAAGGCCTCCGCCAGTGACAGACTATATTGCCTTCGAGGCCACCCTCTAATGGATTGAGCAAAAATTTAAGAAAAATAATGGCACAAGTCGTACGAATGGTCCAGTACAGATTTCTGGATTATTTAGGTTATGCTTTGCGTGAAAAAAAATTTATCAACCCCCCCATCCCCCAAATGTAATGGCCTCCTTCATTATTTAACACTTGCAGGCACAAAGACTCGCACTGGCATGTTAGGCGTGAGTGGTGCGATCAAGGTAAAGGAGTGTGTTGCATACAATGACACCGTGAAAACCATTTCCATCTTGAAAGCTGCAGCAAAGGCCGGCAAGGCAACTGGCATTTTGACGACTGCTCGCGTAACTCACGCCTCCCCTGCCGGAGCGTTTGGACACTCTGCCTTCCGCGACTGGGAGTCCGATAAGTGAGTACTTCTTCTTCGTAGACTAACCTTTATTTACATCGTTTAAGCGGGCAGTAGCATTGGTATTCTTTCTGCATTAAAAGTTGTTTTGCACCGAGTTCTACGGAGATTAGGGTTTAGGTGATTACGAAGCTTAGCTGTAGCATTGCTGTTTAAGTTAGGTTTGGGGTTAAGGTTTGATTAAAGTTGAAACTTCTTGATATCTAGTGTAAGCCCCACTTGCAATCCTGGCTGAGACGCCTATTTTGCATAACTTTGAGTAAGCAAAACTTCACTAAATGGTCCTCATTTAACATGGTTTAGGGGCAGCTATTTATATTCACGAGACCCAGCAAATTGCTTGTGAAACTGTCTGTGTCAAAGGGTTTAATAATATTAGGAGAGAAGCGTTATTAAGAACATCCCTGATCAAGAAGAATAATTAACAGTCAACACGATCATCCAAAATATAATAATGAACTTAAAGAACAAGGGTCAATTATGAGTAAGGATGGTGTAAGGGAAGTTTTTTTTCTTTATCACTTTTGAGGAAGGGACCTATGTTAATTTTTTTTCCTTCTTCTTACCTTAATGGTCTGGAATATATAACTTGCTTGCAGAAAGTTAAAAGGTGCATGCTGATCGTCAAAAATTAAATCCTATCGAAATAGCAACTTTGCCCATAAAAGGCCTCAGAAATTATTCGAAAAGATTTATTGATGCCAGCGTGCCGACATGCCTTCGTTAATCCTTTTACCTAATCAGGCCAAAATATAGTTCAGTGCAGTTCAGTATATTTAGGGTAATAGGCAATGTCTTTAAAAACCTTATCGACAGTGATATGCAAATATAGTCAACATAGAATAAATAAAGTAAATATTTTACTGTACAATAGCGAGTAACATATACACAGGTAGATCTTTTTACTAGTGAATATTACGTATTACGCATTGTCGTCCTGAATATCGTATATATTGAATGGATATGTTCTCAAAGTGCTTCCCAGTGTATACGAACAGCATGTGTGAAGAGGG